ATACACGTACTTCACCCTACTTAGATTCTTGAAAGTTTCAGTAACTAATCAATAAATTCCTTTCCGACTTCTGGCTAATTCTCCGCAAGGATATTAAAACATAAACTCCCCCTAAAATGTTATGGCCTAATGTGTAGCTGCTTTCTAATGCCACGTGTTTACCTTGGGCCACAAGAGAGACGTTTTGAATAAAATTCTCTCCACAAGCGTTTGAAATAAAACATTTCAGAAAACGAAGCAGGTAACGGGTGGAGGTTAGAGCTTTTCACAAATTAAATGCCGATGTGTTCTATTTTTAATTTTATTTGTTCGTTTGAGAGCGACTTGAGCTCATGTCAAATTCATCATTTTGTGTTCTCGATTGTGTCATTTAGTATGTTGATAAGTATATTAGCGCTATTTTGAATGATTAAAAGACCTTTGTGCAACTACATGTTTGAGTTGTTGCATATAGGGAACGAGAGAAGTAAGGATGTATGTTCAGTATGTTCTTTACCGTTTGGACGTATTGCGTACGAGAAGCAAGCATAAAATTATCATGTGAACTCCACCTGCCTTCGTTTGCCAGTGCGGCGCCACTCAAAGAGGTTTTGAGAGTACTCCTATATCGAATCTATTTTAAAAACAAGCCAAGTGTTTCATTTAAAAATGAGAGTGAGCAAGTCTTTAATCGGTTCCCTTCCAAAATAAAATGTTGATAATATAAACTGGAAATTAAGATCAGAAGGGCCCCAGACGGACGAATCAGTCGCCCCTGCCCCTCCCCTCCCCGCTCACACCTCCTTCTCATTAAATCGGGTGTACCATTTTTCCTTTTCCGGCGACAAAGGGCAAAGAAGACATCTCGCTGCCTACTGTCCTGTCCACTGTTTTTTTTCCTATTGTGGACAGTTCTCTTGGTATCAGAGGACTGGGGAATTATGAAAAGAAGAAAAGAGGAAATTAATGGCACGAGGTAAAATAAATGAAAAGAGACAGCAGCGCTTATCCTTACGAGATGACGAGAGCAGGAATGAGAAAGATCAAATAATAATGAAATAATGAATATATTTGTTGTAAACGATGTATTATCAGTGCGATCTTAAACTCAGACCTTCGTCATAGGTTTGAAAACCTGCCTAAAAGGCAAGTTTGTATAATCTCTATGGTACAGTCAACTGTCGCCTCGAGAACACGGTCTATTTAATACGCACACTCCGATAATACGGACGCATTTAAAACATGTTTAAATATTGTTGCAAATTTAAATAAATAACAGGCATTTTACTGAAATAGAAGGATACTAATGGGACTATATAACTGCATTGGGCGCAAAGATATGAACGTTGGAATATTTTTGTTTGGTTTGATCTTCCTTCTGCCGAAAGGGTCCATTTGCTGCTGTTTTTTTTTAGTTTCGTCTTTTAAGAATAATCCATTTTTCAGGATCCGGTCCGTGCACACATTATTTTATTGTTGAGGTTTTGTTCCGTTTAGTTTAAAAATATATCCGCGCACTTTATCAACAAGAGCTAAGTGTTTTTGGCATGTCTGGCCTAGGAGAAGACATGTGCTGAATCCGAGTGAAAGAGATAATCGTTTTAATCTGTTTTGGAACCCACTAATCTGTTTGGTCTTGGACTATAATTCCTGGTTAACACCCAGAAAAAACAAACACGCTTGCATTTTAGTTCCGATCGATGTTTTTATATATCAAATTTTTATATATCAAATGCTGTTGTTAATTTTCAAAGACCCAAACGTTGCAAATCTATAATAATACCAGTTGAGATGAAAGTAGTTGATCCGCACCTTTTGACCCTTAAAAGACAAGCAACTCAGCTCTTCTTCGAGCTTGTTTTTCGAATTGCAAGCTTTCCTTGAAAAACTCCATTTATTCTTCGGATTTTTTCTAGTGCAGCTTCTTTGGGTAGGTCAACATTACTGAGTCGTAAACCAAGTTCTCAGCTTTCAGTTCATTTTGTTTGTTTTTGATTCGCGAAGTATTCCTTTATCAAATTCCACATTTTGACTCGCTATGATTTTTTTAGATATATATATATTTCTTAATTTTACCGAGAAATTGCATTGATATTAGTGTAGGAAACAGGGTCGTCCTCCACAAAGCGAGGCCTTTCGCACCTTTATGAAACACCTGAATATGTAGTCCAAGTGGAAAACACCAACTTCAGACATAACAGCGCGTTACCAAAATTAACGCATTTTTACGTTCTAAGGTTACAGACAAACTTTCTGATCGATTTTGTTGGCGTGTTCTCAATTTTTATTTCTTTCGTAGCACCCAGTTTCTTTGCAAGATCTGAGGCCTTCGTCCAAGTACTTTCTGCGTGTGATCAGCACAATCAAGTTTATTTCAAGGTACAGATACCCGGCTATCCGAGAAGAAAGACTTTGCGGCTCATAGTTTAGCTTCTTTATCATTTCGTTGTTTTTTTATTATGTTTTAAATCACATGCAATATGCATTGTTGACCAAGAGTGAGGTTAAAAACTAATATTGGTCAAGTTCTTTTTCTGCGTTTACTTTAATAAACAAAAACAGACCAATTAACTTATTATTAAGTCATTAATTTACTTAATTGATTAATGAATGAAGCCAATATCCAGCCATCCTCATCAGTAAACGATCTATTCAGAAATTCTCACACGCCGGACTGACAAATTGGGAAATCTCGATCAAGAACGCTACAATCTTGGACAGAATTAGCCTGCGTAGCAGGCGCTTGGAAGTAGTGGGCGAAAGAGAGAACGGGCGCGCGCGTGGGAGACTGTCTCCTTCTCGCGCGCCCGTTCTTTCTTGTGCCCTCTACTTCCAAGCGCCTACGCAGGCTAGGACAGAATAAAACTGAACAGCAAACCCCCATCCGCCCAAATCAAGGATGAATCCGCGCAAAAGCCGAAACTCGCCATTTTCCAATCTTTGATTTACGGGGCCGGGGGGGGGGGGGGGGGTTGGTGGTATAAATTTCCCATCTATTTAGTCCAAGATTGTAGATAGGCCCATGCCAGGTTGGGTACTCTACCAGAACACGGCGATTCGCTTTTGTCAATTTCTTTATGATAGACGGCTCCTCATCCTTTTGGATCGATTAGCTTTATAAGGCTATATTGAAAAACACACAAGTGATTGCAGTCAAAACGTCACTAAGCAGTCACTTTTTATAGGGAATGGCCAGGTGTCCAATGTTGTTCGACAGTTGAATCGGTATAAAGAGCAGAAAAGTGTCCATTAAAAGGCGTTAGCCCGGTAGAGTACAGTGAAGATTGGTATGCTACACCTCCGTTAACATGCCTCCGTCAACCAGCCACCATGCATGACGTATCTTACATGTAATTGTTCTAGTTGTCTGCTCGTCCGGAGCTAGAAGCGTCGTTTGTTTTCTTTTTTTGTGCTCTAGTGACCAATGCGAGAGTGGCAGTCACTGGCGCAAAGGTCACAGATGTGTGTGGTCTCTTTTCTGATGGAACTGTTACGCTCTTTTCTGCGTGCGCGTCTGCCCTATCTGCTGCTGCGTTTATCAGCTTCTTTGCCCCTGTGAAGGTTGGTTTAGGTAGGGTACAACTTCCATAACCGTGCGCGTATCTTCAATGACAGGAGTTATTTTTTCCCGTTTTTCATTGATTTGGTGAGGGGTGACGAATGGTCTTTGCGAGCATTCGCGAGCATGCCGAGCACTGCGATTTTTTTGCTTTGTGAGCAGAGAGCAGTTTAGAGAGTACAACTCGCGAGAAGCGAACACTTCTTATATTTTCTGCTTGCAGCAATCCATATGGAAATCCTTTTCTTTAAAATAAAACAGAAAAATACTTTAAAACGGGGTTTTAATTTAGAGCAACCAAGTTCTTTGAAGCTAGTTTGAGTGACACCTTATCAAGATCAAATAACGTCACATTTCCGCTTTACTTCATAATGCAAGCTCGCTTTCTTGTCAGTATTGCTCGAAATTTTGTAAATCCTCCTTTGGGTTAAAGTAAATGTAATTCTTTATGGTGCTTAATTCCTATAAATATGGGTATCAAGTTCAGTGGAAATGCACGCGACAAATGACAACGATACATAATAAATTAGCTAATCTAGCTATATAGAGTGAGGATATTACACGGTGGCGTGAAGATATGAATTTTATTTTCGAGTGGCAAAACAACCACCAGAAAATAAAATTCACATCTTCAAGCCGCCATGTAATGTTCTTTTTATTATCTAGACAAAAAGACATCGATAAAATAATAAAGGGAAATGACTGAAATTACGTCATCGATAAAGTCACAGTTTTTGCAAGTGGTATATTTTCCAGTAAAACACTCGTGTCTATATAATAAGGTTATATATGGTTGTTCTATATGGTTGTTCTTCTTGTGACCTTTGCTTTCTGATCCGTACAAACACGTGCGAGCAACTGCAAGAATTTTGGGAGCACGAGCAAGCGAGCACTCGTTTAAATTTTGCGAGCAAATCGAGCAAAGGTAAAATTTTGCGAGCAGTTAAAAATTTTAATGGACCATTCATCACCCCTTTAGTGATTCTTTTACCGTCAATAAATTTATGTTCTTGTTATATTTTAGAGAATAGAATCGTAATTAAAACTTTTCTCGCTGTTCTCTTAAACACTTTTCTGTACTATTTTCATTTTGCCATCACTCTGCTGAGTTTTTAATTGCCGATTTTCTGTGATTTATTTTGGTTTGTTTATGATCGTTCTCTGTTTATTACCTTGCAGTGTATCTTGGGTATTATAAAATGATGACGCGAGTTTGAGGTCACATGACATCACAGCCACATCATAGTTTTTTTTCTCTTTGAGAAAATTTTCAAGGAAAGTTGTCGTCCAACTCTTGCTTTGTTTAATACAAGCTTTTATTTTGCTTAAGACTGTTTACACAGTTTTCTTGACAATGACTGACGGAAACGAAGGAGAGAACCTGCCTCAAAAGCTACCAACTGCAACGTCGAAACAACGGCGGTCAAGTTTGTTTGAAGTTGGATTTCCAGTTCAGCGGGATCGTGGTTCTAGTATGGTCTCTATCCCTAGCATTATTCCCAGCCAAATCCACGGTGTTCATCAGAAGGTCCGCTACGAAAATACATACAAAATGGAGCCAGACAAGCGATTTCACATCGCCGAAGTGAAAGAAATTCTGGACGAGACGCTATCGACGTCTTTGAAAGATGTGAAGTACGATCCGGTGAGATGCAAAGCGTTGAGCAAATCGCTGTCTCACACTATCTGTGAAAGAGTGAAACTTCTAGGATTCAGCAGGTTTAAGATCGTCTGTGTTGTAAGCATTGGTGAGATGAAAGGACAAGATGTTCGAGTTGCGAGCCGCTTTCTTTGGGACGAAAAACATGATAACTGGGTCGATTCCGTGTTTACAAGTTCTGAGTTATTTGGGGTTGCGGTCGTTTTTGGCGTTTACCAGGAATAAACAACGACGAAACCGCTTGAACGTAAAGTCGCAAGCTTTATTTTATCGAAAGGTTTAGACTATGGACAATTCAGAGAAGACTTGCCGTTGAAAAGATTTTGCTGCAACTGCAGAAGTCCTTTGAATTGGTTCCCGTTGACTGAATTAAAATGTTTATAAAGACTTCTCTGCATGGAATGTAAGTAAGCTTAAGCTAATTTTTAGCTTTAATACAAATTTTGAACGGTCAAGTCTTCATGTTGTAAAACTTGTAATAGTTTGTCGCAATTGTGAACCCTAGATTGGTCTTTTTTTGTTGCATTGGCAACTTTTCGTCTAATTTTCATGACGTTTATGTTTAAAACTATTAAATGCTGAGCTATGCCTGACGAAGTGCTTAAGTTAATTCCAGTGACATCTTACAGAAAAGTAGTTTCTCTAACCATAAACGTCCACCAGATGTATTTTCTTCCTTTATGGTATTGATTTAGTTTATGAGATTATTGACAAAGTTAATTTGTAATGCTTGAAGATGTCATACCCTGTTTTATTCCTTGGTGCTGTGATGGCTTCTCTGTATAATCTTTGAATGGAAAACATGGCTACGAAGAGACATATATAAAATTTAAGAAACCTGGGCTGACAAGAATTTAATGTCTGAGGCTGCATTTCGACTGTGTTTAAAAACTGGTTATTTCTCAAACTTTTAATATTCAAAAGTAATTATTTTCAAATGGAGTACTTTACAGTTTTTTTTAGAATGGCAAAGCGGGATGTCACTATTTAAAAAGAAAAGAAGGTAGAAAGAAAGCTGTAAATTGCGCAGGCACACTCGTCGACCCCCCTCTCTACGGGCCTGTTGCATGCTGTTAGTTTGTTTTTCTCCTACCATAAAAGCTGTTAGGACAAGGGCCTTGGAGTGGAGGGGAGGGGGAGGGGTGTGGCTGTGCATATAAAAATAGAGAATACAAACTACGCGATGGAAGGGGCTTCAGGTCTGTAAAAATCGTTGTTTCCTAGCTGAAGGACAGCACAGTCAGCAGGTGTGGCATGGCTACGCTGAGAGAGACGAGAAGTACTGGGCCGGGTGAGTATTGTACCCTCTACCCAGAGACACGACTGGGGCTGCAATTATTAGTCCTTCTACAAGAGACTATAAAGGGGACAGAGAGGCCATCCCCTATATACACCCTATGCCATAGGTAATTCGTCTCGAGTTATTTTTAGAATCGGGATAAAGTTACCTCGCGCGAGGCGTGGATGTTTCGTGGAGGTTTCGCATGACCAAACGCCGTACAAAACATGTCGGGCGAGAGGCAATAAAAGCGTAAAAAAGATCGAGAGCATTCCTGAATATTGAAGCGAAATGAGTCGGCGCTCACCTGGGAAAAAGGAATCGCTGTACTCTTTGACAACCCGTGAAATCAGTTTAACTCGAAGTTGTCGTAACCTCAGTGCTTTAATAAAGTGAGAAATTTCGCCGGTCTATTGAAACCGGTCGTTTGTACAATTTAGGGAGTTTAAGATCCAACGACGCGGACGACAACTAGAACATCAAAAAAAACAATAGGTTTAATTAGCAAAAAAACAACTTCGCACGTGCAACACACTTTTTTGTTCATTTCTTTCCCGTTTTTGCACGACTACGACGTGAATATGCCTAATTTCGCGTTTTATGGAGGACGTAAATAAGCAACGACGAAATTTTATTTCTCTTTCTGAGCTTGAATATGGTCCCTTGAAATTCAGCTTTAGGAGGGTTCGCCTACAGTTGACAAAGTAGGTGGGTAGGAATAATCGCTATAAAGACTGAAAAAAATAAACATCAAACCAGAAATTGCTCTCTTCAAACTGTAAATTATAAATGATCCTGAGAGAATATTCAGTGTGTTAAGGATTTCCCTGCTCTACTGTTAGCTCTATACAAGAGAGGAAGGGCGATTCTTTTTTAATTTCGGTTTCGCTGACACAGCTTTCGCAGAAATCTCGCTGTAGTCGTTTTCGTCGACAAAAGGAATAGCAAAATCGCTCTCCGCGTCTTCCCCCATTTTGTTCTGCGTCATTTCGTGAAGGACGCGTGGCTCTCAGCGTGGGTCATCCACGCGGAACACATTCGCGCTATGTGATTGGCTGTTGTCTAATCCCCCTTGAGATCTGTGGTGTTAAAAATAACTCGAGACGAATTACCTATGGAATAGGGTGTATATGGGGGATGGCCTCTCTGTCCCCTTTATAATCTCTTGTCCTTCTATGAATATTTTTTCAAATATGGTCACTTTATTGATAATGCAAGTTGGTGTCCAACTGCTATCGGTCCGAATGGATCAGTTAATTCCCACCAATCGAGAAAATAGCATTACGTTTTGTGTTATTCCTGATAAGAATTTCCTTTTTTCCTCGTTGTTCCAGCACACTTTATTATATTGACAATTACGGTACTTACATGAGGGTCCCAATGGGGTAGTGGCTTTTACGGTTATCGGCTAAAATTTTGGCTCTTTTACGGCTATCGGTTAATTTTTTTCAGTTACGGTTAACGAAAAAGTTAAAAATTAACTTCTTTTGTTTCAAAATGTTAAATATTAATTAACCAGTATTTTTTTGTATCTTTAAATCAAAATAAAGGTCTTCGGATCATCTCGGGATGAAATAAGCTTTTCTTTTGAAAAATTTTAACATTTTATATATCATACTTTTTATAAAGTATTCCACTTCTAATATTATTTTACACATAGAAATGTCAATAGTCAATTTAAAAATAATCTTCGTGAAAAAGCAAAAGCAGACACGCAAACGCCCAACTCAAGGCCGGGGCGCGACATTCATTATAACAGAAACGGCCGTTTTCACACTAGAGAAGGATTATTCGTGTGAGACGGGTTATCCGTTTGTTGATTCGCGTCAGATAGGTAATACGTCTTAATCTGAAAATGGAAAAGTTTTAATCTTGAATCAGTGAACAATCCGCCTGACTTCTGAAGACGGGATTATCCGCTCCAGATAGCCTGTCTACAGCCGCCCCCTCCCGCCCAGAAAAATCGGAGAAAGGGTGTCTGTGGGGAGGGCGCGACCGTACACAGGCTAGTCTCAGACGGATAGTCAATTTCTAGCTCTAGTGTGTGTCTAGGTCTTGGTTAACACCTAAAAGGCGCTTCGCCTAACGTGCGTACGGAGTCACACTAGCCGGGAAATAAAAAACGCAACCAAAAGTAAGTTTAGCACCTTCCTCAAAAGTAGCAAATCTAGGGGAACAATTTCTTTTACGGCTAACTCTTTTTTACCCTATTTACGGCTAACGGTTAAAAGTTTTCAATATTTACGGCTATCGACTAAATTTTTGGCCGTTTTACGCCTATCGGTTAACCCCATTGAGACCCTCTTACATGTACCATTGTCAGACTTGACTAACCTGCGGATACTTGAATAGAGTTCAATTATACAATCCTCCCAGAAAGTAATACTGTACATCGGCTCCTGACAGAGCAATTCTTATGGATGAAAATACAATACAATACAATACAATATGGCACAAAACTTCCCATTTGTTTATTTTATTGTTCAAATAGCAGTCTGAACTGGATTAGACCGTACATAGTTTAGTGGCAACTTGATCCCACCTGACCTGGAACCAGGGTAGGCTGAAAGACGAAATGTGAAAAAAATTTAAAGAAATCTCGTTCTGATCCACAACACCCCCTGGCACGCCCCCAAACAACCAACACAGCCAATTTTATGCTAATAAAGAGAGAGACTGGAACTGAGAAATTGAAGCACCTACAAGTTTATGGTATATGTATATGTTACTGGTCAAAATTAAATTCAGGTTAACATTTTGTAATCTAGGTTAATTCTCAATTTCCTTCGTCTCCTATATATCTGTTCGGAAGACGATTTGAGATCTACAATTTTCGGAACATTTGTTGTAAAATTTCTTGTTTGTCTGCCTCTCCTAGGATTTTCGAACATCTAAAAAATGGTATAATAGCCCATTTTTAAGGGATTCTTACCCTAAAAAGGTCACCTAGAGTTTTCGGGAGCCTTTTTTTCTGGCCGAAATGTTCGAAAAGGTAATTTTTGATCCCTAAAATTTTCGGTTCACTAGACTTTCAGCTAGGAAATCCCAACAGATGAAAAATTTTTAGGGGATAAAATATGCCTATATCTACCGTTTAAATACTACACTACGTTCAACTATGCTTTATTTAATTGGTTTTGAGCCATATTCTCGTCGGGTGCCCCTTATTTATTTGTGATGTTAGAGGAAAGGGTGACAATTACACTGCATAGCAAGTGAGAATTCACCACATGCTTTGACTGTGTTCCTCAATGATTTTCAGATGTACTTAAAAAATCCCTTTTGACTACATCCTGCAAATCATATTCAAACAGGCTTTGTGTTCAGGTTTTAGCATGCAGGTCAGTGATACAGTGGAACCTTTCCTTTGGGACACCTCTATTAAAGGGACACCTCCATTCAGGGGTCACAAAATTTGGTCCCAGTAAAATGTTCACACAACCACCGTAATTGTTACCTCTTTTTAAGGGACACCTCTATTCAAGGGAAAGGGACACTTTTTCTGGGTCCCAAAACCCAAATTTAACCTCCATTCAGGAGACAGAAAACAAGTGCTCAGAAAGTGACTGACCACATCCTTGATAAATTAAGGTGTACACTAGTCGCAATGGCGACACCTTTCAAAACATGAAAAATCTCAAATGATCCTTGACCGTAAATGATCCACGACTGTAAAGGATCCTTAACATGGATCGCAAATGATCCCGTGAAAAAATTGTGGAATGGAAATGGGGCTGTTTACAAGGTAAAAGAAAAAAGGAACCTTTTCTTCTTGCCTTTTAAAGGAAAAGGGAGGAGGACGCCAGATCACAGGTTAATTTATACAACGCGTCAAAACAAAAAAATGGAATAAACCTGAAAAGGATATGGTATCAACCGTACTTCTTCCTTTGGCAATGGCTTCAAATTTCGATTCGTCGCTGTAAAAATTTATGACAGGCATGACGTTACGCAGAACTAACTCTATTATTTTAACGCCTAGAAGCTCAACTTGTCTACTGAGGAATTTAAAGCCAGGCACCCTCTACATAGCAGGGGCTTTATTGACTTAAATGATTTTTTTTGGAAGCAAATAAGCCCCCCCTTTTCAGGGAAAGAAAGTTAATAAGCCCTCCCTCCCCACCCATAATTATTCTGCAGTAATAAATGATAGTCTGTATTAATCAATCACGACAGTAAAACTTCGTGTGGACTGATCCGGGATGGTTTATTTACCAACTGGAAGTTCAGATTTGATTCTGATCCTCGGCTGCATGACCTAAAACTTCTTGCACTTGAGCTTTTCCACATTGTATTCTAGTTGCTTATGGGAGAACTGATACCCTCGTCGTTTCTAAATTAAATATAAGCCCCCGTCGCTATTACCCCCACCCCCCCCGGCAACCCCCGAGAACCCCCCCCCGACACACAGCCCCTCCCGCCAGAGCAACACCAACGCGCACATCCGAAACAAACAGAGCAAATCAAAAGACGGGAATCACGGATAGCACAGACGAACAAATACAGGCCATTAAATAAGCCCCCCTGGGGGCTTAATAGAGGATTTACGGTAAGATTAAACTAATTCACAAGGCAAGAAGTG